AGAATGTCTGAATACAGCTCGATGTTGAGTGATCTGTCTGAGAACATCACTAATGAAGACCTGGAGCAGCTGAAGTCGGCCTGTAAGGAGGACATCCCCGAAGACCAGAGCAACTCCATCACCTGCTCCAGAGACTGGTTCAGTTACCTGGAGAACAATGACAAACTGGCACGAGGTGAGGAAGACGCCGGCCTCTTCGGTCTCCATCGATATAGTGAACCAAGCTGTCAAACCTTAAGCTTCACACGCAATGGAAATGAATGTACTCTCCCTCAGGCTGTGTGGATGAGTCAAGCTGAGAATAGACTGAAGTTATGAGTCACTGATCATATTCCTCTCAAACCACAGTGGCCCTGGAGCACAAAACCACTCATAAGGGTCGATTTTGTGAAATTGAGATTTATGCATCATCTGAAAGCTGAATAGATAAGCTTTCCATTAATGCATGGTTTGTTAGGATCGGACAATATTTGGCTGAGACACAACTATTTGAAAATCTGGAATCTGAGGGTGCAAAAAAATCTAAATATTGAGAAAATCTTCTTTAAAGTTGTTCAAATGAAGTTGTTAGCAATGCATATTACTAATCAAAAATGAAGTTCTGATATATTTACGGTAGGACATTTACAAGATATCTTCATGGAACATGATCTTTACTTAATATCCTAATGATTTTTGGCATAAAAGAGAAATGTATAATTGTGATCCATACAATGTATTGTTGGCTATTGCTACAAATATCCCCCAGCGACTTAACACTGCATATAGCATATAATTTGTTTTTATTTTCAAAATATCGAAGCATCCTGTGATTGGTCGTGAGAAAAGCATGAACCGATGATGTTTGACACAACTGCCTTTGTGAACTTTAGCGAACTTTTAAAAATAGTACACATTGTGGATATAATATACTTTTAAAGAATACACTTAAGTGTGGACTTGATGTAATGTTTTCTGCTCTAATTGTAAATAGAATGCAATATCATATAATTCCGTATTATAAATAAAAACGTATTATAGTTTGAATTTATATTAAATGCAATTAACTTTAGAGTGTTTTGACCCACTTATAGGACTTGCGTACATAAGTATATGTCATTTCATAATTACATTTGTTGTCCTTAAAATATGGTTAAAGTACTGCTGAATGCATTTATGATCAACTAAATATCCTTTAATACAATTCCAATAGAAACTCGTATGGCATTTATTTAAATATATCTGTAATGATGAAGTTGCAGTTTAGTACAGATTAAGCATTTAAAAGCTATTAACTTTAAATACGTACTACTTAAAACAGTGATTTAAAATGCACTTTAAAGTAAAACTTAATTACAAAGGTCACTTTAAAAGTCTACTTAAGTGTGTCTTGAAAGTGTCTCTATTTAAGTCACTTAAGTGGCCTTTTATTTAACTCATATTATCTGCAAGTAGGGTTGGTTACTTTATTTTAAGGTGTCCTTGTTACAGTGTAATTATACATTTAAGTAATATTAATTAACTACATGTTCTTGCTATATGTTTAGGGTTTGGCTTAGCATGTAATTATGCATACTTAATTGTTATTATAATAGTGCATGTAACGTGTAACAAGGACACATAAATTGTTACCGTAAAAATATACTTTAAGTGCACATTCGATACTTTTGTTTCACAAGGGAGGCACCATGTTTGAAGATGTTTAAACATTTTATATTCCAAAAAAGGAAATGAGTTTTATGTGTTTTAGAGCGGCACGACGACACACTTTTTCATTCCGTTAAATGACGGTTGAGCTTATTGCACAGGCATGTGCTCATAGTTCGATAAGACGTCTCTGTGTGTGTCTTACGCATAATATCATATAATTACGTATTATAAATAAAAACGTATTCTAGTTTGAATTTAAATTAAATGCAATTAACTTTAGAGTGTTTTGACCCACTTATAGGACTTGCGTACATAAGTATATGTCATTTCATAATTACATTTGTTGTCCTTGAAATATGGTTAAAGTACTGCTGAATGCATTTATGATCAACTAAAATATCCTTTAATACAATTCCAATAGAAACTCGTATGGCATTTATTTAAATATATATGTAATGATGAAGTTGCAGTTTAGTACAGATTAAGCATTTAAAAGCTATTAACTTTAAATACGTACTACTTAAAACAGTGATTTAAAATGCACTTTAAAGTAAAACTTAATTACAAAGGTCACTTTAAAAGTCTACTTAAGTGTGTCTTGAAAGTGTCTCTATTTAAGTCACTTAAGTGGCCTTTTATTTAACTCATATTATCTGCAAGTAGGGTTGGTTACTTTATTTTAAGGTGTCCTTGTTACAGTGTAATTATACATTTAAGTAATATTAATTAACTACATGTTCTTGCTATATGTTTAGGGTTTGGCTTAGCATGTAATTATGCATACTTAATTGTTATTATAATAGTGCATGTAACGTGTAACAAGGACACATAAATTGTTACCGTAAAAATATACTTTAAGTGCACATTCGATACTTTTGTTTCACAAGGGAGGCACCATGTTTGAAGATGTTTAAACATTTTATATTCCAAAAAAGGAAATTAGTTTTATGTGTTTTAGAGCGGCTTTTTCATTCCGTTAAATGACGGTTGAGCTTATTGCACAGACATGTGCTCATAGTTCGATAAGACGTCTCTGTGTGTGTCTTACGCAGACGACCTGTCCTACATAGAGCACATCTTTGAGATCTCGCGGCGGCCGGACCTCTTGACCCGGGTCATCGAGTACCGCACGACCGTGCTGAAGATCTCCGAAGATGACGAGATCGACACCAAGCTCACACGCATCCCCTCGGCCAAGAAATACAAGGGGACTCAACTCTCCTCTTTAACAGTCTCTGTGTGCTTTACTTACTCTGTGTCTGTAACAGAACGTTTCTCTTCTATGTCACTCATAGATATCATTCGCCAACCGTCAGAGGATGAGATTATCAAACTGGCCCCTCCCCCCAAAAAAGCATGAGGTTAAAGTTCATGACCTCTGCTCCTCATCCTTGCCCATCATCGTCACCAAGCCACGCCCACTGCCCCGCCCACTCCACCGAACAGCAGCCAATCAGATCGCCAAGACGCTTTACAGCTACGCCACGGAACGCACGGAAAACTGAACGAAAGACAAAGAAATGGACAAAAAGACAGCGACCAATAGCCTTGCAGAAGTGAACATAGGTCAGGTTGTGTGTCGGAATGAAAACCAATCGTTCTGTGTTCGCTGACGCTCGTGTGAAATCGTGTATGTGCGAGAGAGAGTTTATTCACACCCTCGATAGCGTCGAGTAGGATCGTAACGTTGGTCAGACCAACGCAGTTCATGTCTTAATGTGGAGAACTAGTAGAGAAACCGGTTTAGCCACTGATCGCTGTTCCTTTAGACACATTTATTCCCTGGTTAGTACCGTGGGTAGACTCCAGGTCCGTACATTCCCTTTAAAACACGACTCATATCAACATTTAAAAGTGTTACAGAGAATTCATCTCTGAATTTGTGCGATTGCCACTTAGAAAGCCAATATTTGCCTTCTTTAGAAATGAAATGCTTTATTGCAGGGTATGCGATTACCTAGTAGAGAATTAATATAGCTTTTTATATATTTCTGTATGTCACACTTCTAGGAAATATAGTTTATTAAATGATCAGTTATAGAATAATCACTGTTGCGTATCAAACGACAGCAGCATAAATGAAGTTTGTTAAACTCTCTTGGGAGACAAAATTAGACGTTTATCTTCTATTATTAAATGTGTGATTGGCCTAAAACCACTGTCTGTGGATGATTAGAACGTGCTAGAAAAATCTCAATATGTGTTTAGTAAAGTTTTAGCTCCATTTCTGCAGTATTTGCATCAGGAAATAGAAGGCATATGTTTTTGTTAAAACTTTAAATTGCTCAGTTCGACTACTTCTACTGTGAATTATTTATTCTGATGCCTCAGTATGCCATCACGTGAAACATCAGGATGATATCACATCTATTTTCAGTTGATCACTTATATACTGATAGAGGGTAAGAAACAGCTGCGACTAAAACAGGGGTATTTATGTCACAGATGTGGTTAAACTGCAGCACTCGATATGTGGCCAAACGTCTGTACGGATCACATTGTGTATCTAGACAGCGCACCGTTTTCATCCTAACACACAGCATATTAAGATTGTGCTGCGTTTACAAATACTGATATCATGATTATGATTGTGATATTCCTTCGCCTTTTATTCGCACCATCTGCTGAAAGACTGTTTAAACACGACTCTAAATTCGCTTGATCACTGTGTGCTCAGCCCCTGCAGACTGTTGTTTTCAGCCGATAAAGCCGCAGCGGTTTTTATGCGTCTGCACGCGGCGTTCAGTTCCAGGCTGCTTCTGCAACTCTCTATTATTCTGTTGTGTGATTTTGCTGAATCGAAGCAAACAAGCTGTACGACCTCAGCAAAACCTTACATTGAGTCTGGAACTACGCATTTATAAAAGTCTGGGATATTTGGAAAAGCCGGATAGCGACTGGCCCTGAACATTCGTGGCCCTTTTAAACTTGAGGACTTAAAAAAATGTCCTGTCAAGGTTTAGATCAGTGAATTAGTCAAGTTTATTTATGTCGCTGCCACCTTAAAATGACAGATCTGATTTAATTTATTTACCCTGCATAGTAGAAAGTCCTAAATTATCTTTTCCATACAATAAAAGTGAATGAGGACTATATATATATACACACACACACACACACACACACACACACACACTCTCTCTCTCTCTCTCTCTCTCTCTCACACACACACACACTCTCTCTCTCTCTCACACACACACACACACACACTCAAATCTATAGATGCTTGTTTCTGCCATGAAGTAAAATCAAATATATAGATAGAAATATTAAAAAGGTAATTGTGATTTTATATCTAAAAATTCAGCCTTTTTTCTCCCTGAATTCTGGGTTTTTATTGCACAATTCTGACTTTTAAGAAATGATTAGAATTGTGAGATATAAACTCAATGCACATTCACAATTCTGAAAAGAAAAGTTAGAATTGTGAGATAAAAAGTAGCATTAATAAAAAGTAAATAAAAACATAAAAAGTTATTATTATTATTATTATTATTATTGTGTGGCTGAAAATAACCTGTAATTGTAACCTGTTATAACTTGCGATTGCGATATAAAAAATGTTTTGTTCTTAAGTTGTACATACAAATATGTTTATTATTGATTAATTTATTTAATGCAACTGTATCTTGTTTTGGCGTACTGAGGTGTGTGTACTAACTGGACAAGCGGGAGGGCGTCTATTCATCAGTGTACGAGTGATGCTCAGATCAGCTCTGCTCTTTTGGGTTTATCGTAGGACTCTGGGTTCTATTTTCTTCTGCTTTGATAACTTTACAGCATCATTTATGTGTCTTTTCATCATATCTTTCTTTTTTTGTATTTTATTGTAGTGTTGTTTCAAATGCTTGTTCTGTTTCTTAGTGATGCTTCTCAGCATAATATGAGTGTGTTGTAGTAGCCATGCCTTTGTCATGTCGTGAAATGTTCGTATGAGAAGCCACTGGCTGTAAATGCAAGAAAACCTTTAAGGATCGTTCATTAAGTTCCCCGTCAGAACGTGAGACTGAGAAACGTGGAATCGGTTTGCGTAGAGATTGAGACGCTCATCGTCGGTCGATGTGGTGCGATGCTGTTTCTGAGATCGTGTAGCGAGGGATTTCGACGGCGATGAATTATGGTGTAGTTTAAGAGAGTGGATCGTAGGGCTTTACTGCATACTTTGATCAGAGGAACTATGAAAGTTAATATAGTCAAATAACTTCTGCACGGTGAATCTCACGAAGAAGCTAGAAGGCCATTTAACCCCCCAAAAATGTAAGTATTATTTTGTATGAAGAACAGGATATTTTTATTTAGGACCGTACTATTTATTTTACATGCCCAGCTAATGAGGGACGTTCTCTGAATGCTGGTTGATGTTCTGGCACGATTCTTTCAAAGTTATGAACAAATGTTCTTCTAGTTAAAGGCATAGTTCAACCAAAACTGAAAATGCTGTCATCATTCACTCATCCTCACTGCGACGTCGTTAATAACCACTACATACACGTATTACAAAACTGATGCTGAAGCCATAGACGCATAATCATGTCGTTTGATTGTCAAATTGGATGTCACGTATTAAAACATATCAGCCTTGATAATGCTGCAAAAGCTTCGCGATGCTGAAGATGTGTCGCTGTTGGCGTAACAGAAACACGACTCGAGAGGTGTTTTATCCTGCTCTTAGTCGTTGTGTCCAAAATAAATACCACTGAATTCGACTAAAAATGACCACAGATATAAATCTCGTTCAAACCTGTCCACTTCAGAATATGCATTAAAAAAATGCATAAAGAAAATGAAGCTTATTTTTTTGAGCCATTACAGTTTTTGACATTTCACCTAGATATCGTAACATATACACAATGCCTGGATTTCTATTATTATAACACAGTTTTTTGTTCTTTGCTTTATAATAATGGCACCGGGGGAAGGATGCCGTAATGCAAAAACCTAAAAATGGGCTTTGTTTTCTTTTGCACAATATGATTTTCTTTCTTTTATTTTTTTAAGTTCTGACTGATGTTTTGTTCTTAAGTTGTACATACAAATATGTTTATTATTGATTAATTTATTTAATGCAACTGTATCTTGTTTTGGCGTACTGAGGTGTGTGTACTAACTGGACAAGCGGGAGGGCGTCTATTCATCAGTGTACGAGGCAGTTGATTATAAAAATGTCTTTGCATAGAGGTAACTCAGCAATATGCAATAGAAAACCCCTTAATTTTTTTTTAAAAAGTCTATATTAAAAAAATAAAAAGATAATTTGTTTACAGAAAACGTTATAAGATGCCAAATAATATTCAAGGCTCCATTTGAAAAGTGCATATTTCCTTCTCTTTAACAAACAAATAGGCAGAAATGATTAAGAACAATATTTCAATATTTTACAATTATTACCTTTAAAAATATATCTCCTGTAATCATTGTTTGAGTCTGTTGTGACTAAATGCAAGACAGATTAATCGGTAATAACAATTATAATTTTAAAATGATAAAACTCAACCATTTTGAGCAAGAATATAATATATATACAATACATTATTCACTGGTAAAGTGCTGTCACGCCCTTTTGGCAGCAGCTGGCTTAGTATTTTGAGTGTTAAGTCTTTTGTTTTCTAATGAATAGCTCCACGATTATTAAGAATTCACGTGTGTCCCTTTGGCAGCAGAAAGAGCTCGTCAAGAGCTTTCATTAGATTGGTATGTTACTTAAGCCTTCCTGGTTCTCACCCCTCAATATATTCATATGCAGCATGTGTCCTTTTTATCATTTTTGCATGTGTAGTGGCTCGTTAGTGAAACCTGTCAGACCTGTCTGAGGTGTGTAATTGGTTTCTGATGAAGTTTAGTCATGTCTACGCACCGCCAAACAACACTTCTCTAGAATTTGCTGAATGCTCTACTCTGCAGTATTACAAAGCCTTCATTATAATGCACAGAAGAAGAAAAAAACATACACATTAGCCTGTAAGTCGCCATGTCCCTGAAATGATTGTTTTGCTAAAGTAAGCTGGTCTTTATGCTGACAGACGAACAATCACAGCATTTAATAAATGAATTGGGTTGATTATCCACAGTGGGAGGATCAGGTCTTCAGATAGAGGAATTAATTATGATTTATTTATTTTTTTTGATTATTTCATATCGTCAGAGTATGACAAGGACATTAAAAGGATGTATCCGTATTGTTTTAATTTATATAGCATGGCAAGACAATTACGGTTACATATAATTATCGGTCATGCAGTTGATAAATGACACCGCAATAAAGCTAATGTGTCTGCTGTGTGCCATTTTAATTTTTATGAAACTTTAATTTTCTTCACTACATTGCAAAGCATAGACTTTTCCCTCCCCTTTATTTCAGGAAAATATGCTGCGCCTCGTTATTTTAAAGTGAAGAAATCGGGAACCTTTTATTTCTACCAGCCAGTGATGCTTCTGAAGGAACACGCCTGGAATCTGTTGCTATAGTAACAGTGCATCTGTTAAGATTGTGGTTACTTCAGCAAACAGTTCCATCCATTTTATCATTCAATGGTACTGTTTAGAGATCAGTCATGCGCACGCATTGTAGACACTTTTTTAACGTTTTTGCTCAGTCCATGTAATAAATGCACATCCTTGAATGTGAGCCATGCATAGCTTCTGATGTGACCGGTTTCAGGGGCGGCCACAATTGCAGTCGATTGGAAAACATCACATTTTGACTCATTCCTAGCTGGAAAACCATCCTGACGTGTTAGAAGTGATGTTCATTTGGGATGTTCAGCCCGAGAAATACATCTTGGATGCACCTGAACCTCTGCTGCTGTCTCCG